TGTACACGCGCGCACACTCTGACACGCGCGCGCACACTTTGACGCGCGCGCGCACACTCTGACACACGCGCGCACACTTTGACGCGCGCGCGCACACTCTGACACACGCGCGCACACTCACGACTAATCTCGTAACCCAAACATCGCCGTGTGATTTGGGGTTGACCTCTGACTCCCCAAAGCAGCAGTCCTCAGAGGCTGGGGGTGCGTAATCCCGCCAAGAGCCGTGACAATCCACCCCGGCGTCCCCCTCCATCACTTCCCTGGCTCTCTGCTCTCTCTCTCTCTCCCCACTCTTTCTCTGCTCTCCTTCCACGCTCTCCCCTCTCTCCCCTCCATCTTTCTCCTCTATCCACAAACTGTCGGCCCCCCTCCCCTCTCTCCCATCCATCTCCTCTCCACTTCTGCTGCCCGCCCGCCTTCTCTTTCCGCACTAACTCTCCCCACTCTCCCCTCTCTCCCCTCGCTCTTATCTCTCTCCACACTCTCCCCTCTCTCTTATCTCTCTCCTCTCTCTCTCCTCTGCCAGCTCTCCGTTTTGTCCACAGCCCCTCTCCTCTCTCCTTCCGCTCTCCCCATCTCACTCTCTTATCTCATCTCTCCCAACTCTCTCGTTCCATATCCCCACCCTCTCTCTCTAGCTCTTCCATTCTCACGTCCCTGCCCATCCTGTCGCTCACCCCCTTCCCACTCTCTCTCCCGCTATCTCTGCCACTCTCTCTCCCACTCTCCCCTTACACAGCACGTCAGCGTGCCAGCGCGCGCGCCGGATTATGTCCGGATTCTGCAGTCTCCTCCCACACGCAGACGAACTCTCCACGGAGGATTTGGTTAAATTTCCAAGTTTGTAGCAGGACCCTCTTCGAAAGTAATCTTCAGACTCAGTGAGGCTTTCCGAGGTTAATTTAAAACACTGCTATTACACTATCACTGTACTTACTTACCAGGCACGCCCCTGCTTAGCATCGGATATCAGCTACGTTGAGGATGAGTGTATCAGCTCAACACCAACACTTCGGAAGCTAAGCAGGGGTTGTACCTTGTTTGCGCTTATATGGGAGACGGTCTGGGAATACCAGGTGCTGTAGGCTCGGGGTTGCGAGGGGACGAATGGTAATGCATGTCAGCTGAGTGCTGGATTCTCGAATCTATCTGTGTGGAGTTTGGAGCGTGACACTGCCGAGTACGCGTGCGGGTTTGGGGTTCCTCACTCAGGGAGCCAATCGCTCGCGTGCTCAAGGGATGTCGCAGCGCCCCATCTGACGGAGAAGCTTGAGACTCGCCGACGACTTTCCTGGAGACGAACGTCGCTCGTGAGGCTGCGTCGGCAGTGGTGCACCAGCACAAATAACAAAGATCCCCCGTCTAGCCTTTCACAGACATTTGGGGCAAGTGCTGTTAGCGAGTAGCACCCATGAAGGGCGGAACGGCACACGAGGGGGTGGGGGGAGAGTGGGTGACCAGCAACAGACCCAGCCCCATTAATCTACCTCGTAAATCATTTGAGGCTGAGTCGACCGAGGGGAGGCCCAGGACCGGTTCAGAGAATCTTCACTGGTGTTGGTGGCCGTGAGCGGGTATCGAACCCGGGTTGCCGGCGGTTCGTAACCGAGGGCGATAGACCTTCTTGCAATATGGGGATGGATGAGGTCGGGGTCTAGGATTGTCTGTGACTATCGAAGCAACTTTGTTTAACGGTGGAAGGTTCAGGGGAGTGGGAGTTGGGGCTGGACGGGATGGGGGAAGTATGGACGTGGGGGATGAGGGTGGGGGAAGTATGGACGGGTGGGATGGGGGTCGGGGAACAACTTTGAAATTAAATAAATTAATCTGACACCGCGTCCTGGGGGCCTTTCCTGTGGAGTGCCAAGCACGCGTGTGTGATGTGAGTCTGAGTGTGTGTGTCTGAGTGTATGTGTGTGTGTCTGAGTGTATATGTGTGAGTCTGAGTGTGTGCGTGTGTGTGTCTGAGTGTGTGAGTGTGTGTGTGTCTGAGTGTGTCTGAGTGTATGTGTGTGTGTCTTAGTGTATGTGTGTGAGTCTGAGTGTGTGTGTGTGAGTGTGTGTGTGTCTGAGTGTGTGTGTGTGTGTCTGAGTGTGTGTGTGTGAGTCTGAGTGTATGTGTGTGAGTCTGAGTGTATATGTGTGAGTCTGAGTGTGTGTGTGATTCTGAGTGTGTGTGTGTCTGAGTGTATGTGTGTGAGTCTGAGTGTATGTGTGTGAGTCTGAGTGTGTGTGTGTGATTCTGAGTGTGTGTGTGTGAGTCTGAGTGTATGTGTGTGAGTCTGAGTGTGTGTGAGTCTGAGTGTGTGTGTGTGTGAGTCTGAGTGTATGTGTGTGAGTCTGAGTGTGTGTTGTTGAGTCTGAGTGTATGTGTGTGAGTCTGAGTGTATGTGTGTGAGTCTGAGTGTGTGTGAGTCTGAGTGTGTGTGAGTCTGAGTGTATGTGTGTGTGAGTCTGAGTGTGTGAGTCTGAGTGTATGTGTGTGAGTCTGAGTGTATGTGTGTGAGTCTGAGTGGTGTGTGTGTGAGTCTGAGTGTGTGTGTGTGAGTCTGAGTGTATGTGTGTGAGTCTGAGTGTGTGTGTGTGTGAGTCTGAGTGTGTGTGTGTGAGTCTGAGTGTATGTGTGTATCGGAGTGTGTGTGTGCATGTCGACTCAGCCTCAAACAAATGCCTGCTGCAGTGTGTAGTCAACATCGCTACTGGGGAGACAAAGGCGGTCGGGCGTGGTGCTGGCCATCCACTCCCTCGTGTACCGTGCCAGCCATCATCGCTGCTCGGTAACAAAACTCGCCTTAACAGTCTCTTAAGGCTGCATGGGGGATATTTGTCTTGTGCAGTGAGAAATCGGGCACCGGCTGAGATGAAGCCACCTCAGCTGCCTGTCGTGCAGGGTGCAGTGACCCCGCCGTACAGAGTGCAGTGACCCCCCTGTACAGAGTGCAGTGACCCCCCTGTGCATAGTGCAGTGACCCCCATGTGCAGAGTGCAGTGACCCCCCTGTGCAGAATGCAGTGACCCCCCTGTACAGAGTGCAGTGACCCCCCTGTGCAGAGTGCAGTGACCCCCCTGTGCAGAGTGCAGTGACCCCCCTGTACAGAGTGCAGTGACCCCCCTGTGCAGAGTGCAGTGACCCCCCTGTGCAGGGTGCAGTGACCCCCCTGTACAGAGTGCAGTGACCCCCCTGTGCAGAGTGCAGTGACCCCGCCGTGCAGGGTGCAGTGACCCCCCTGTGCAGGGCGTGGGATCCCGGTTGTGCGGGGTGCGGGAATGGCAGTAATCGAGGGCCCTGGGTGATCCCAGCTAATTCCCTAGACGAAGATAATCCCGACACCGCCCCTGTCTGGAGATTAGTGGGGGTGGGGGAGGGAGCGAGGTGGGGGGGTGAGACTGAGTGGGTGAGGTAGAGGCGAGCGGGGCGACGCGGGGGAGATGGAGGGGTGAATCACGCTGATCGCAGGCGAATGCGTGCTCCTTCTGGTGAGGTCACCCTCCTGGTCATGCGTCCAGCACGTGTGAGCGAGCGATTTCCACACACGTTCTCTCGGGGAGCTGCAAAGACAAATAAATGGGCACAACTTGTTGTAGAATCTAATATCAGGGCTTCATTTTCTCATGGGACACTGCCCAGGTTCCACACTCCCCCCTCCCCCACCTCCCCCCTCGCTACTGTGGGCTGTGAGGAATTTTCTGGTGGTCAGCCCCGCACATCTCCGGCTGATTTTCAACCCCGCATATGTGATCAGCATACGGCGGTACAGTGATGGATTATTGAATCTATATGTGCGGCGGTGATTCGAGTGTCTCCCCCTCGTATACAAGGCCGTGCTGTTCCCCGGTGTCTCCGGTTCCCTCCGATCACTCCTCGTGGAGTGAGGGGGGCTTCCCTGGGGCTCGAACCTCGCTTAGCTTCACAAATATGACGAGCTCAGATGCACTCCAAGTGCATCGATGGCATCTGTAACCGACACGCGGAGCAGAGGGGCCATTGAAGGACCCTTACGTGGAGCGTCGGTCCAATGTTGCCCGGGCTGGCTTGATGAAGTGATTATCGGCGTAAGGCAATTACCTAGCACGAGAGTGCAAGGTGTGCCAGTCATAGTCATTATTTTATTATTGTACCCTACAATCCTGCAATGCTATGAACAGCTTGATAGGAATAATGCGTTGGCCATGAGGACAAAATGAGGCGAGATGGATGTGGTAGCCAAATAATCCACGGGAGCGCGTTCCGTGCAACCACAGGTGATGGAGGTCAAGAGGCAGGTGATGGAGGTCAGGAGGCAGGTGATGGAGGTCAGGAGGCAGGTGATGGAGATCAAGAGGCAGGTGATGGAGGCAGGAGGCAGGTGATGGAGATCAAGAGGCAGGTGATGGAGGTTAGGAGACAGGTGAGGGAGGTTAGGGGGCAGGTGAGGGAGGTGGTTGCTGTGCGTAGCGCCGCTAGATTCCTCACCACCGCTTGCCCCGTTTGTGCCACGGGGCAAGGACAGGGAAATGCGGAGAGCGCTTTGAAGTGTTGGGGGCAGTGCTGCTGTCAGACAGTGAAGTCATCTGCCAACGCGTGACAACCTCCTCCTCCTCGTCTACTTGCCGCGCTCTGCTCCTCCTCTTGCCTCGTCTATCCTCCCTCTCGTCTGACTCATCTCCTTCTTCCCCATTTCCCCCCCACCGCACCATTCCTTCACTCCCCCCGAACTCTCCCTCCTCCTCCCTCTCGCCTAACTCGTCTCTTTAGATTCGCTCTTTACCGCTCTCTATCGCTCATCTTTCACACTCCTCCCCCACTCTCCTTCACTCTCCCTCTCCGCTCCTCCACGGTGTCTCCCTCATCACTCTCTCTGTCTCTCTCACACACTCGTCCCCCACTCACCCACACGCTCCCTCTCACCCCCTTCCACTCTCTATCTCTCTCTGCACTCTCTCTCAGTCTCTCTGCACTCTCCCTCACTCTCTCCCTTTGTTGTCCCCCCCCCCCCCACCTGCCGCTCTCTCTGCAGGCAGGAGGCTCTACTGGCCGCCATCAGCGAGAAGGACGCCAACATCGCCCTCTTGGAGCTCTCCTCCTCCTCCTCCTCTAAGAAGAAGAAGGCCCTGGACGAGGTGGGGGGCCTCAGGCAGGAGAAGGACCGCCTCGTGCAGCAGCTCAAGCAGCAGGTGGCGCGGGGGGGCACGGGGTCACTCGGGGGGCACGGGGTCACTCGGGGGTCACGGGGTCACTCGGGGGTCACGGGCTTACTCGGGTGCTCATCCGCAAATGTCAGGGTCATAGGTCGTTTTGGGGGTCGTTTTGGGTGTCACGGGTCAACCGGGGTCATGAGTCGCTTTGGGGTCACGGGCATAGGTCAGAGAATTTGTTAACATGGCAAGTGTTAGAGTCAGGGTCAAAATTGTTAGGATCAGGGTCCGTCTATGATAAAAGTGAGGGTCAGGGTCATTTGCATGGGTTAGGGTAGATGTCAGAGTCGTGCGACACCGTTATAATTTAGAGGTCAGGGTTAATGACCGTGTCTAGGTGAGGACCGGGGGGGGTCATTGGAAACGTGAGGCTTAGGTCAATATTGGTGGACAGGGTCAAGCTCAGTGTCAATGTTAGGGTCAGGTGATTGTTAGGTTTAATGTTCGTGGTTAAGACAAGGGGCATTGTTACGGCCAGGCTAAATGATGCAAGTCACTGCTGGGGGTTAAGGCGAGGTTAGGGTGAGAGTTGAGCTTAGGATGTAGATGTGGGGTTTCGGTTAAGGGTTGGGATTGTGGCTTGGGATTATGGTCGAGTTTGGGCGTTAACGCTGCAGTTGGGGTTAGGGGTTAAGCACCGTGGTTGAGTATGTGGGTTAGAGGTCAGCAGTTAAAGTGAGATTTGCGGTTTTTGTGTGGAGGTTCGGGTGCAGGGATTTGGGAGTTGCGGTGAGGATTAGGCTGTGGTTTAGGGTGAGGGTTTAAGCTGTGGACGCGATTTGTGGTTGAGCTAGGAGGATGGTCTCGAGTTGGGATCCTTATTGGCGATGTGGCATTCATCACGAGTGTCAGGGTCAGGGGTTAGGGTCAGGGCCAGGGGTTAAGGCTCCCTGAGGCATCACCGCTCCCGGCTGTCATCCTCGCGTTCTGCACCCCCCCTGTCCCCTCCCCCTCCCACACCGTCTGCCATCAAAGCGCAGCTCCATCCGGTCCCTCCTCACCCACACTCACTCCCTCCCCACCCACTCCACCCTCACCCACACTCACTCCCTCCTCACCCACACTCACTCCACCCTCACCCACACTCACCCCACCCTCACCCACACTCACCCCACCCTCACCCACTCCCTCCTCACCCACACTCCCTCCTCACCCACACTCCCTCCTCACCCACACTCACTCCACCCACCCTCACGCCGCCCTCCCCAGGGGCCGATATAGACATACAGTGAGGGAAAAAAGTATTTGATCCCCTGCTGATTTTGTACGTTTGCCCACTGACAAAGAAATGATCAGTCTATAATTTTAATGGAGGTTTATTTGAACAGTGAGAGACAGAATAACAACAACAAAAAATCCAGAAAAACGCATGTCAAAAATGTTATAAATTGATTTGCATTTTAATGAGGGAAATAAGTATTTGACCCCTCTGCAAAACATGACTTAGTACTTGGTGGCAAAACCCTTGTTGGCAATCACAGAGGTCAGACGTTTCTTGTTGTTGGCTACCAGGTTTGCACACATCTCAGGAGGGATTTTGTCCCACTTCTCTTTGCAGATCTTCTCCAAGTCATTAAGGTTTCGAGGCTGACGTTTGGCAACTCGAACCTTCAGCTCCCTCCACAGATTTTCAATGGGATTAAGGTCTGGAGACTGGCTAAGCCACTCCAGGACCTTAATGTGCTTCTTCTTGAGCCACTCCTTTGTTGCCTTGGCCGTGTGTTTTAGGTCATTGTCATGCTCCTCCTCCAAACACGGCGAGTTGAGTTGATGCCAAAGAGCTCCATTTTGGTCTCATCTGACCACAACACTTTCACCCAGTTGTCCTCTGAATCATTCAGATGTTAATTGGCAAACTTCAGACGGGCATGTATATGTGCTTTCTTGAACAGGGGGACCTTGAGGGTGCTGCAGGATTTCAGTCCTTCACGGCATAGTGTGTTACCAATTGTTTTCTTGGTGACTATGGTCCCAGCTGCCTTGAGATCATTGACAAGATCCTCCCGTGTAGTTCTGGGCTGATTCCTCACCGTTCTCATGATCATGCAACTCCACGAGGTGAGATCTTGCATGGAGCCCCAGGCCGAGGGAGATTGACAGTTCTTTTGTTTGCGAATAATCGCACCAACTGTTGTCACCTTCTCACCAAGCTGCTTGGCAATGGTCTTGTAGCCCATTCCAGCCTTGTGTAGGTCTACAATCTTGTCCCTGACATCCTTGGAGAGCTCTTTGGTCTTGGCCATGGTGGAGAGTTTGGAATCTGATTGATTGATTGCTTTTGTGGACAGGTGTCTTTTATACAGGTAACAAGCTGAGATTAGGAGCACTCCCTTTAAGAGTGTGCTCCTAATCTCAGCTCGTTACCTGTATAAAAGACACCTGGGAGCCAGGAATCTTTCTGATTGAGAGGGGGTCAAATACTTATTTCCCTCATTAAAATGCAAATCAATTTATAACATTTTTGACATGCGTTTTTCTGGATTTTGGTCTTATTCTGTCTCTCACTGTTCAAATAAACCTACCATTAAATTATAAACTAATCATTTCTTTGTCAGTGGGCAAACGTACAAAATCAGCACGGGATCAAATACTTTTTCCCTCACTGTATCAATCTATTTAAATAAGGTCCTCCTACGTCCATAAACAAGACGTAGTACAATGAATTGTTCTCTGCTAAATATCAACATCAATGCTCGCGCTCTCAATGGACGGGGCTGCCCCCACCCCCGCTGCTGCACCCTCACCGACTCACTTAGCCCCGGCCCCGCTCCTCGCCGGGCCGCCTCACCTGCCCCCCCCGCTCGCCCAGCCTGACTCGCCCCGCGCCCACGTCGCCGATCCCTCTCCATCAACCCCGCGCTATCGGGGGTCCGGAGGCGCGCGCTGATAACGACTCCCGCCCCCCACCCCCCGCTCGCTCGCTCGCCGTGACGCTGAGCAGGCGGCCTCGGGAGTCACGCCGCGCCCTCCTCCTCCTCCTCCTTCCTACCTCCTCCTCCACCACCTCCTCCCTGCTGCACCACCTCCAAAGATAAAGATCCCCCGTATAGCCTTTAACAGACCGTTGGGGCAAGTGCTGTTAGCGAGTAGCATCCTTTGAAGGCCGGGGTGGGTGGCCGGCACCGTACCCGGCCGCCTTTGTCTCCCTAGTAGCGATGTTTACACACCGCACCAGGTACTTATTTGAGGCTGAATCGACCTAGGGGAGACGCAGGATCGGTTCAGATAAGCGTCACCGGTGTTGGCCGTGAGGGTCACCGGGTTGGTAGTGCAGCGTAGCGCTAACCACTGCGCCTCCACTCCCCATCACCTCCTCCGACTCCGCCACTCACAGCCCCCCCACCCGCTCGCCCCCACGCCACAACGTGCCAAGGAATGTGTTCATTCATCACCATCAGCCATGATCAGTCCACTGCTGGATGGATGAAGGCTTGCGATGTTGAAGATCCACCCAGTCCCCACCTCTGTACGCGCCCATGTCACCATCGCTCCATCCCGTGTGTTTCACATCGATTAGAATAAAACTGTAATCAAACTTTGCAGTCCCTCTGCTAATCCACTGCTGGATGAAGGCTTCCGTTAAGATATGTCTCGCCACTCATGGTTGCCGTGGCTGGAAATGTCAGTCAGGATAGGCGGGTTCATAGCCCAGTGCGCAAGCCACTGCGCCAACGCTCCACCCCCCAGGTGTTTTTCTGCCAAGCGGCCAGCAACAAACAGCACCATCAAAGTTGCAATAGCTAAGAGTGTATTGCGCGTCTTCAATTGAACAAGGTAAGAGCCTGGAGGGGAAGAGACGACGACGGGAGAGGGGATTCCAGAGTGCAGCAGTACGAGGGAAGAAGCAGAGAGAGAAGTGAGGTGGCCTGTAGAGTGGTGGTGAGTGGGTGGGTGAGCATTGTCGTGACCTGTAGCGTGGTGGTGAGTGGGTGGGTGAGTGAGTGGGTGGGTGAGTGGGTGGGTGGGTGAGCATTGTCGTGACCTGTAGCGTGGTGGTGGGTGGGTGGGTGAGTGGGTGGGTGGGTGGGTGAGCATTGTCGTGACCTGCGGTGTATTGGTGAGTGGGCGGGTGAGGGGATGGGTGAGTGGGCGGGTGAGTGGGTGGGTGAGTGGGTGAGTGGGTGGGTGAGCATTGTCGTGACCTGCGGTGTGGTGGTGGATGAGACGGCACAGTCGGTATCTGTCAGAGACCGAGTCCTCATCGCGAGTGGAGGAACCAACAACGAGTGAGGTTCCTGGGAGCAGTCACCAGGGTAGTCGTGGTAGTGGCAGCGATAGCAGAGTGATAGGGGGACCACTGAACCGCGGGTGGGCAAGGTGAGTGAGTGGAGGGAATGGGCGAGTGCCGGACCACCACTCGGCCCGCCTGTTGCTTCACTCTGAACTCTGTCCGGCGCAGCAGTGAGGCAGGAGCCGGATGCCCCATCCCAGCAATGAAAGCAGCAGCAGCAGGAGGAGGTAGAGGATTCAAACTTGGGCCCAATCTGTGCTGTGTTACTGCAGTAGTGACGATCGCATTATATCAGTGTTTTGGAATCTGCAATAAAATGATGGACTCCACCCCTCGCCCCCCCCCTCGCCCCCCTCGCCCCTCCCCCCTCTCGTCCCCCCCCCCTCGCCCCTCCCCTCGCCCTCGGGTTGCCTGGAGCAGACACAGAACCGCATGAAGCTGATGGCGGACAACTACGATGACGATTACCACCAGTCACTGGGTCGCGGTCCCGTGTCCAACCAGGGACCGTCTCCTGACCAGGCACGTACCCACCAATGCCACCACAACCGCGATTCGCCACGAAGTGACGGCGACATCGCCACGGCGCCTGTGCCAGGCTAGGTGCACTTTGAGGCCACGTGAAGTCTCGAATGTTCGCCGATAGGAGGAGGTCACGGCACAGACCCAGCAGGTGCCATGGGTTGACTGACTGATATGACTGGTAGATGTACCACCAGCTGTGCTTCCTGCTGTGCCAACTTTCGTACCAACACACAGACATACAAGATACATACACACAGAAATATACATATACATCTATACAGATACATGCATACCTATACAGATACACACGTATATATGCTATATAGATACATTTATATACAGCTATATACAAATGCGTTTACAGTATTGTGTATCCATACAGATGGGGAGCGGTGACGCTGTGGTTAGCGCACTGCATACTGATTCAGTGGGCAACATCAGTAGTGAACATGTGCACCGGCTCTGGGCCTCCTCGAGGTCGACTCAGCCTTAAAAGGGCTGTCTGGTGCAGTGTGTTTTAAACATCAGTACTGAGGAGACAAAGGCGGTCCGGGCGTGGTGCTGGCCACCCACCGCCTCGTGTGCCACGCCAACCTTCATAGGTGCTTCTCGCTAACAGCACTTGCCCCAACACTGTGTTGAAGGCTATACGGGGAATCAGCCCACCTCACCCTTCTCTCTTCGTCTTTCTGCCCCCTCTGCTCTCCTCCCTCTCCCCTTCTCGGCCCCGCTCGCCTCTCCCTACGGTGGCTTTCACTGCCCCCCCCATTGCCCCCCCACTGCCCCCCCATTTCCCCCCCCCCCCCCTCCTCAAACCCCCATGCCCCCCCCTTTGTCTCCACCTCGCAGGACGATGAGGAGGGAATTTGGGCCTAAACAGAGGCGCCGCGCCCACCCGAGCAGCTGTTTTGTTCAGAGGGGTGAGAAATGCATGACCCCAGCGCCCTGTGGGTGTGACCCCCGACCCCCCCCGCACCCCGTCCCCCTCCACCAGCCCCCGCGGACTTCACACCTTGCCTACCTCCCACACCCACCCCACCTGCCCACCTCTACCACCCTCCCCACACCCACCCCACCTGCCCACCTCTACCACCCTCCCCACACCCACCCCACCTGCCCACCTCTACCCCCCACCCCACCTGCCCACCTCTACCACCCTCCCCACACCCACCCCACCTGCCCACCTCCCCCCACACACCCCACCGAGTCCCTGCCATACGGAATGTTCGTTTGCGTTCATGTGCATTTGTGTCATCGCCACGAGGGAGACAAAGGCGGCCGGGTGTGGTCCTGGCCGAACCGCCGCCTCGTGTGCAGCACTTGCCCCAACAATTAAGTCAAGGCTGTACGGTGGAACTTTGTCTTTGGAGTGTGTCATTGTCTTTGTACCTGTATCATTGGTGACACAAAGACAAAGATCCCCCATATAGCCTTGAACAGATTGATGGGGCAAGGGCGAGCAGCACCGGCGAAGGCCGGAACACACGTGACTCGGCGTGCAGCGTGGTGCCGTGGTTGGCATGCGGGAAGTGTTCAACAGTGAGGTAGAATGGTAGGTAAGTAGTTAGGTAGACATGTAACAAGTAGGCAGGCATACAGGTGGACAGGTAATTAGCTAGGTATGCAGGTAAATAAATAGGTCTTTAGGTCGACAGCTTTACAGGTGGAGAGGTAAGAAGGTAGGTATCTAGACCGGCGAACAGGTGAATCGCCAGGTAGATGGCTAGGTAAGTCGACAGCTCACTGAACAGGCAGGTATGAGGAATCTCACCCGGACCACGCTCCCTCGGTCACGTGACACGCCCCCCTCCCCCCACCGTGAGGCCCAACTGGTTTTGTTGGCGGGCGCGCGTCACAAGAGAGCGGGGTGGAGGGGGGGGGGGTCACAGCCACGTGACATGGGGGGGGGGCGCCAGCTGGGCACACTAATTCACTCATTTGGGGGGGGGGGTGCCTGGTGCCTTCACCGAGGTCCGCGTGACAGAGATAGCTTCATCGCTCCACATCGCATGGAGACACTGGGACACAGGGGCATGGAGACACGGGGGCATGGAGACACGGGGACATGGTGAGGACACAGGAGCACGGATACACGGTAAATGGGACCCACGGGAACACAAAAACAAGCAGCGAGAGACACGGGGGAACATGGCGAGACGAGGAGGCGGGAACTCCCATCAGTTGTAGGCTCCAGGTTAGAACCAGAGAAGCCTCGTCCCCACCACCCCTGGGACCCGCGCTGCGTTCGTACCGGGCCGGCGGTGCCGCGCGTGCCCTGCTCCCCCTGCGCCCACTCGGAGACCCCCTGCGATGTTGCCGGGTCGGGAGTCCGTGAAGATCTCGGGGGGAGCAGAGGCCCAGGCGGGAGGTCCCCACCCCCACTCCAAAGGGTCCCCTCCCCCAGGAGTCCCCTCCCCTCGACTCCTCGTGGCCCCACGTGGCCAGCTGTGCCGTGATGACGTGTGGCTTCCCCCCCCTCCATCCTCCCAAACTCCATGGGAATTCACGATACTTGTTGGAAAATCTCCTTGGAGGGGAGTGGGGGGGAACTGAGAAGAGGATGGAACGCGCCTGCCCCGCCATACGGGACGTCTCTATGGGGCAGCCAGGGCAGCTGGAGGGGGGCCGGGGCAGGGGGTAGGGATTTGGGGGGGGGGGGGTGACAGACACGGCTACGCAGCCGCTTTGTAGCGCCCGTGGCTTAATTTCTCACTCAATATTTACGCGTCTCTCTAAGTCTATGGTTCTTTATGTACGTCAGTGGGTCTCCGTGTAAGTCGGTGAGTCTTTGTAAGTGCAAGTCAATGGGTCTCTGTGGAAGTGTATGGGTCTCTATGTAGGTCCCAAGGGTTCTATGTGTGAGTGTGTGTCTCTTTGCAAATTTCCGGGTTAAATTCCCACCGAACGTTGATTTTGTGGTCACTGGTGTCGACTTGAGGAGGTGGCTGGCGCGTGGTGGAGTAGCCGCAGCCCAAGCAAGTGCGGAAATTTTTGTCGAGTTGCCAACCGCAACAGGTTTGGCTGAAATGAAGCCCTCGTCATATCGTTAGTGGGGTCCCCAGTGCCCCCCTACACCCCCCCCCCCGCTTGTCCTGTCATCGTCGTCGTCATCTTCAAACAACACGAGGCTCCCGCTCATCATCACCTCCCTCGTGCGTGCCACGTGGTACCAGATGCACGACGCGTGCACAATTGGCTCGAGGCTAACCACGGAAGCCTCGCTGAGCTCCAGTGTCACTACTGAGTGTCACTACTGAGTGTCACTAATTGTCACTATATTGTTACCTTGGTTTTTATTTTGGGGGGGAGGGGGGTGGTGAATCCAGTAAACGAGGACGCGATTTACAGTGCCCCCCCCCCCGCCCGTATCCATCAGGAATCAGCACGCGTGAACCTACCTTGACCTGCGACCCTTGCACACGTGACCTCCAGGTGTCAGGTGGAATGCAGAACCCCCCCCGCCCGCTGCACACCTGTGGCCCCCTCACTCCTCACCCTCCACACCTGGCCCCCTCCCTTCCCCCGCCACCTGGCCCCTCACTCCCCTCCACACCTGGACCACCTCCTCTCCTCACTCCCCTCCACACCTGGCCCCCTCCCTTCCCCCGCCAGGCCCTCCCTCCCGTGACACCCCCCCTCCCCTGCCTCCTGTCACGTGGTTGCTCGTGTTTAGTCTGAGCACGGAGCGGGATCTGATTCAATGGGCGAGACACAAAACAACAACAGCAGTAACAACATGGCCATTGAACAGCAGCGATGCGAGGGGAGGGCGTAGATACCCCCCTCCCCACTCTCCCCTCTCCACCCCCTCCCCACTCCCCCCCTCCCCACTCCCTCCCCACCCCCTCCCCACCCCCTCCCCACTCCCCCCCTCCCCACCCCCCCTCCCCACTCTCCCCTCTCCACCCCCTCCCCACTCTCCCCTCCCCACCCCCTCCCCACTCCCCCCCTCCCCACCCCCCCTCCCCACTCCCCACCCCCAAACCCCCTTACAACCTCCGCCCCCCCAAACCAACTAACTACCCCCACCCCTGATCCGACATCAACCCTACCTCCCTAGCCTCTCTATTGATGTGCTATGAAGTAGGGCTATTCCCCGAAACGTCGACTGTTATATACGTTTGCTTTTAATGACAAAGTATAATTGACGAATGATTGTTTTTTTATCCAAATAAGCGCTGTGTATTCGAGTGTAAAACAGTTTAAATTAAATTATAGCTAGGCTATGTGGTTGTGTCTGGTAATGTGGTGCGGTCTGGTTGTGTGTGGTGTGAGTGGTGTGAGGGGTTGTGTGGTGCGGTGTGACTGTGTGGTTGTGTGAGTGGTTGTGTGTGGTGTGAGTGGTTGTGTGTGGTGTGAGTGGTGTGAGTGGTTGTGTGTGGTGTGAGTGGTTGTGTGGTGCGGTGTGACTGTGTGGTTGTGAGTGGTTGTGTGGTGCGGTGTGACTGTGTGTGGTGTGAGTGGTGTGAGTGGTTGTGTGTGGTGTGAGTGGTGTGAGTGGTTGTGTGTGGTGTGAGTGGTTGTGTGGTGCGGTGTGACTGTGTGATTGTGTGAGTGGTTGTGTGTTGCGGTGTGACTGTGTGATTGTGTGTGGTCAGCGTGGTTGGCTACGTACGGTGCGAAAGAAATTCAACATGTGGTGTGAAGCTATGCAAGCACGTAGTGGTGCTCTCGTCCTGTGGCCGTGTGGTGTGGCCGTGTGGTGTGGCCGTGTGGTGTGGCCGTGTGGTGTGGCCGTGTGGTGTGGCCGTGTGGTGTGGCCGTGTGGTGTGGCCGTGTGGTGTGGCCGTGTGGTGTGGCCGTGTGGTGTGGCCGTGTGGTGTGGCCGTGTGGTGATGCGGGCACTGTGTGTACAGAGGCCTGGCTCGCCCCCCCTCGTTTGCCCCCCCCCTCTTTCTCCCCCCACCCCACCCCTTTCTCCCCTCGCGTCTCCCGCACTCAGCGCTAATCCCTGCCCCATTGCCGCCCATTGTGGATGTGACAGCACCGGGCCTCGCTTATCCCGCGTGGGACGGAGGGGAGGGTGCCGAGTCTGGTGGGGGATGGAGGAGAGAGGGAGGGGGGGGGGTTACCCCGCCCGGCCCCAGGGAGACGAGGAGTCTAATCGCCCACTTGGGAGTCATCTGGCCCCCCTCCCCCATCTCTGTCACTCTTCCCCCCACCCACCCGCCGCCTTTACTACCGTGGCACGAGAAGTGTTAATGCTCTGTGGGTCTCGCGCTGTGCTCGGTTAGTGACACCCGTTTGCGGAGGGGAGCGTGGGGGTGGAGAAGGGGGAGGGGTAACCGGCCCTGCCCCGCCCCCACGTCACAAGTGGTGCAGTGACGAGGTCACGTGCGCTCCCGCCCGCCGACTGAAGACAATTGAAGAAGAAGAACGATGCACACGCATGGGGTTCGGAGACGCGGTGGCCTCCCTAAGCGCGATTGTCTCCGGAAACACTTAATTAGCAGTACGGAAGCTCTGAAGGCAAATCGAGTTTGGAATTTTGGTGTTGCCCTGGTTTGTGTCTCCAGAGTTTTTGACACCAGCCACCCCCCCCCTCCATTACTGTGGCCGGATCCCTCGCAGCAACAGGAGGGAAGTCTCTGTGATTTTTGGATCATCCTTACGCGGGTTATCGTGGCGATTTTATCGGTACCAGTCGTGGCCATCCCGTAGGTCTACTCAGCCTTAAATGAGAGCCGCAGTCTGTTTGTTGAACTTCTTTCGCACCGTACGTAGCCAACCGTGCGAATCGGAGGTGCAGGGAGAGGACAGCAAACTAAACACAAAAAGCAGTTCTATGGAAATTAGTTTGCAATCGAGTAGTACCTGCTGCGTTAGGTAAACAAATACTCTGTCTATGCAAGTCTCACAATCCTCCTGTACTCGGAGCACAAAGAGTAATCCAGATTTTGTTTTAATGTAGTAATAAAATGCCAAAGATACTATATGTATAATGAGGTTTAAAACAAATATTTTCTCAATTATTTAAAGAATATTTTGGCGAAAAAAAGCACGTTAACAGGAGCACGAATTGAAACGTTAGAGCGATTTTAATTGAACCGTGGTCTTCTGTATTCATTACCCTCGCCTCTTCGGTGTCACTATCCATCATTATTATTATTAAACGTCTTACGAACTTCATTTTCCACCAGTTCAATCCAACTCAATGTTTACCTGCAACGCCCGCAACCCCGTTTAGCCAGTTACCCAGCTAGTTCCGTCACGCAGCAGCGATGTGTGTGTGTTGAACTTCCTTCGCACCGTACGTAGCCAACCGTGCTAATGGGAGGTGCGAGTTAGGGTGCGGTAGAGAAGGAGCCCAGCCAGCAGCCAGCCAGGGAACTGGAGGCGGAGATTCTTTGTAGCGGTGGGGCGATCGCTCGCGTGGCCGTTCGGATGGAACAACCCCGCACGTGGCTTTTCGCTCCTTGCCCGGAAGGGGAGGGGGGCGGGGGCGGTGGGGGGGGGGGCGTGTTGATGCAAGTCCCCATTTCTCAGGAGGGGGTATAGGCGGTCCATGTACGGTTGTGGCGGGGGGGGGGGTAACCGTGGTGTTTAGGGGGGGTGGTGATTCTGCGTGCCGACAGAAAGGCGATAGAGGTCGCGGAAGGGACCCCATCCCCATGCCCCTTTGAAGTGAGGAGCCGAGCCCATCAGGACTCAAAACAATACCTTACCTACTGCTGGCGCAGCTATGCGGGCTATGCGCGGGGCTCACCTTACAGCGCACGCCGGGCCCCCTCTACCCATCCCCCCTCGCCCCCCCTCCCCTTGCCCGCCCCCCCCCTTGCCCGCCCCCCCCCCCAATTGTCACAAACAGCAGCCCGAAGGTTACAGTACGGCAGTAGAGAAAGTAGGAGCGTGGTAGTGTGGAGGGAGAGAGTGGAGTCGGCGGGACACACTGATGGCCACTTCGCGTCACCGCCTTCAGCCGCGAGAGGCCGCGATGTTTCTCCGCGATCTTCCGAGTGCAGCAGCGGCTGTTGAATGGAATCGCGATTTACGAAACGCGACGATTCGTGAAATCACCGGCAGAGGATGAAGGTGGTGGTGGGGGAGGGTGGGGGGGAGGGCGGGGGGGTGATTCCCCCAGTGCTCCCCGGGGGTGCCCCCCCCCAACCCTTACAGCTCCCTCACCCCATCAAAGCGGCAGCACTGGAGATGGGGATGGGGGCGGGGAAGCCATCACCAGCGAAGCTATTTCCCTACAACCAACAATTACCGCTCAGGTGCCCTCTCCGTTCGGACGGCCTCCTCTCCCCTCGCCATGCAACCCCGCAATTACCGGTGCCAATTACTGCGGCCCAGTCTCGGACCCCGGGCGCCGCGCTCGCAAGCGGCTCCCGATCTCCCCCCCCCCCCTCCTCCACTATGACCCCCCCTCCCTCCCCCCAGCATTGGTTCCAGCAAGCCCGACCCGATACAAGGAGGGACGTCTGGACCGCGCCGCGCGTGTGTACTTTCAATGTATGCGACGGTCACGCGTCGAGCTATGGGGGTGAGGGAGGGGATCTCTCGTCTCCAGGCGGCGTCGGGCAGCTCGGCAGCAGCGGGTCCAGCGAGCGAGCCAGGGCCCTGCTGCCGATGAGACGCTGCGTGTCCACACCGCTGCAGAGTCTGTGGCCGATTATATCGGACTCACTTCCGGAAGGAAGGCCGTGTGGCTGGTGGGATGTGAAAAAAAACAGATACTTTGTGTACGTAGAGAGAACAAATCCGGGACGTTTAGATGTTAAGTTTGCTTTGAACATTCTCCACAACGACTCCTTAATCATAGCTGTGGGCGTCCTGGCGAACCTTTCAATAAAGTTCCAGCCTTTATCCGTAGCGCAATAATAACGATTCAACACGTGTTTTGTGTGTGACCAGAGTGAGAACTCGAGAGAGCAGCACACAGAGTCTCTTTGCAAGGGTAACGTGGAGGCATCCCCCTGGCAGTAGGGGGGCGATGATTGCCGTTGTGTGGTCTAGCCTAGGGGTACCCCCAGTAGCAGCTGTCCCTGGGCATGAGTCTGCCAGTAGGGGGGCGATTATCCCTGCTGCGTGTGTGCGTGTGATCCCAAGTGAGGAACGTGCGGCGTCGTTCTAGACAATTAGGAAAACTTGGTCCATGATGCCGGCACACAGTAGACCACTCTTTGCGAATGACGCCACGGGATCTCGAACGTCCGTTGTGAGTGAAGCAGACGGAGCGAAGTAGTAGTAGTGTTATAGTTATCACTCACTGCAGTAATAATCAGGGCGGTCGCTGGGTGCGAACCCGGAATCTCTGCAACGACCACATGGAGCTCTCCCCCTGCTTTTGTGAGAAATCTTCCGATGTGTCCCGATTGTGTGTAGCTCAGAGGTGGCAACCCTCCCCCAACTCCCTCCGCCACCACCCTTTGACCCCCCCCTCCATGCCCCCCCCCCCCCCCGCGACTCTGATCCCCTCCGTGAATGCGAACCCAGAATGTTCTCGGGTCTCCCTGCAGCTGTGGTGCGATAATGATGACGATGATGATGGTGGTGAGAGGCAAATTTACCACCAAGTACATTAATCACCAGCGCTTAGCCCTGGGTCATGTGGCAATGGGTGGATTCATCGATCTGTTCTCGAATCGCGGTGTGACGAACCGGGGATGTTTACCGGACACCGGTAAAGAGGTAAAGGTGCAGCCCTGCAAGTGCTTGCTCACGCCACTGTTGGCGAGCCCTTCTATAGAAGGGGGGGGAATATTTTGCCCACACTTGCACACTGGGCAGATGTCTTGGAAGAGGTGGGGAGTGCCCACACTTTACCCCACCACGCACGACTTGCCGATGTACCGTCTCGTACCCATGTATAGTGCCGTGGGGTCACGAACGAGGCCGTGTGACTGTAACGAACGTGCCCACTGCTTTAACTACCCCCATGGGATTCGCGACTCGGAGTCGTCACAATCTGTGATCATGAACATCACGACGCGATGTTGGGGGGGGGGGAGGCGATGTGCCCCTCCCCCCCGTTTGACCCCTATGACCCCTCTCCTGTGTCCCCCCCACTGCCCCATCCCGCCGACCCCTAGATGAGCCACGTGAATCGACTCCACCTACAACCTCCTCCCCATGACCCCGCTCCCCAGCCAGCGCCCAGCCCCGCCATTCTGCAGGGACCCCCCCCCCCCCATCCCAGAATTGAGCCGCCCCCCGAAAATCCCCTCCTGCCGTCTGACGATGGGGGGGGGGGCGATGTACCCCCCACGAGCCTCACCCCCACACGCTCGAGCCCGCTCCTCTTTGGCGGCCGGGACCCCCGGCAGATGCGAGGATCGAGCGCAGCGCGGCGCAGGTATCTCCCCACTCCCCTCTCCCACAACACCGCGCCCGGCCACCTTTGTCTTCCCTGTGCTGATGTTTAAACACCGCACCTAGGGCAGGCCCCACATAATCGCCGCTGATGTTAGCCGTTGTTGGGTGTCCAACTCGGGTGAGCGGGGTGTGTGGCGCTGCGCCTTAACCACTTCGTCACGTGACCCGTGGGCGCCGTGTCAGGGTGCAGCTCCCGTGTCAATCCGCGCCGTGCCGCTCGTGGAGGTCAGTTGACCATACTTCACCTCGCTGGTCAGCCTGGGTCTACGTCTCGTTTAACGCTGGGGTTGAGCTACCCCCCCCCCCCCCCATCGTTTAACTCGAGGAGAGCGATGGGGAGCTGAGGTGATGGGGGTGAAGGGGTGAGAGTCGTGGCGAGAGGGGAGAAGTGCTAAGGAGGGCAGGGAGTGACGCGGGGGGTGGAGGGGAGGGGGGTAACGGGGGGGTGGAGGGGAGGGGCCGGGTGCCCAGGGTTGTGGGGGAGGGGGAGAGTTCAGATCCCGCTCAGGTCAAAATGTCGACGGCAGCTGTTGGAGCTGCGAGCTCGGGGATCTGTCAGGGTCAGGGAGCCGGACACGTGGGCGTGGAGGGCGGGGGGGGTGGACACGGGGGGTGGAGGACGGGGGGTGGAGGGCGGGGGGGACACGGGGGGGGGGGGGGTCTGGGTGCCAGTGCAAGAGGGGAAGGAGGTTTCGACTGGAAGAAGGAGACACTGCGACTGCCAACTCGCACGCACACACAAAGACAAAGATCCCCTGTATAGCCATACCAGAGTGATGGGGCAAGTGTTGTTAGCGAGCACCTATGAAGGCACCACACACACACATCCACATAGACACCACACACATATCCACATAGACACCATACACACGCACACACACATCGACACCGTACACACACGCACATCCACGAAGACACTATACACACACACACATCCACATAGACACCACACACATCCACATAGACACCAAACACACACACATCCACATAGACACCACACACCACATCCACATAGACACCACACACACACATCCACATAGACACCATACACACACATCCACATAGACCCCAAACACACACACATCCACATAGACACCACACACCACATCCACATAGACACCACACACCACATCCACATAGACACCACACACATCCACATAGACACCAAACACACACACATCCACATAGACACCATACACACACATCCACATAGACACCATACACACACGCACATCCACATAGACACCATACACACGTCACCCACCACACACGCAAACAAACACGCCCGCACACACACACACGTCTCACACTCGCTCTACACACATCACGCACACAGGCACACGTTTCACACTCCCACTACACACATCACGCACACAGACACACGTCTCACACTCGCACTACACACATCACACACACACGTCTCACACTCGCACTACACACATCACGCACACACACACACGTCTCACACTCGCTCTACACAACACACACACACGTCTCACACTCGCTCTACACATCACGCACACACACACGTCTCACACTCGCTCTACACATCACGCACACACACACACACGTCTCACACTCGCACTACACACATCACACACACAGACACACGTCTCACACTCGCTCTACACATCACGCACACACACACGTCTCACACTCGCTCTACACACATCACGCACACACACACACGTCTCACACTCGCTCTACACACCTCACGCACACAGACACACGTCTCACACTCGCTCTACACACTCACACGTCTCACACTCGCTCTACACACATCACGCACACAGACACACGTCTCACACTCGCTCTACACATCACGCACACACACACACACGTCTCACACTCGCACTACACACTCACACGTCTCACACTCGCTCTACACACATCACGCACACACACACACGTCTCACACTCGCACTACACACTCACACGTCTCACACTCGCTCTACACACATCACGCACACACACACACACGTCTCACACTCGCACTACACACTCACACGTCTCACACTCGCTCTACACACATCACGCACACACGTCTCACACTTGCTCTACACATCACGCACACAGACACACATCTCACACTCGCTCTACACACTCACACGTCTCACACTCGCTCTACACACATCACGCACACACACACGTCTCACACTCGCTCTACACATCACGCACACACACACACGTCTCACACTCGCTCTACACACATCACACACACACACACGTCTCACACTCGCTCTACACACATCACAAACATACACACACGTCTCACACTCGCTCTACACACATCACACACACACACACGTCTCACACTCGCTCTACACACATCACACACACACGTCGCACACTCGCTCTACACATCACACACACACGTCTCACACTCGCTCTACACACATCACACACACACACGTCTCACACTCGCTCTACACACATCACAAACATACACACACGTCTCACACTCGCTCTACACACATCACACACACACACACGTCTCACACTCGCTCTACACACATCACACACACACACACGTCTCACACTCGCTCTACACATCACACACACACACGTCTCACACTCGCTCTACACACATCACACACACACACACGTCTCACACTCGCTCTACACATCACACACACACACACGTCTCACACTCGCTCTACACACATCACACACACACACGTCTCACACTCGCTCTACACACATCACACACACACACACGTCTCACACACACATCACACACACGCGCGCGCTGTCGGGGCAAGTGTTGTTCGCGAGTAGCAACCCACGAAGGCCGGGGCGCCACACGTAGGGGGTCGTGTGGCTAGCACCGCGCCCGGCCGCCTTTGTCTCTCTGGCGCTGACGTGTACGGGGCGCACCAGGTTCTCATTTCTAAGGCTGAGTTTGGGGGATCGCGTGTTGGCAGCTCGTACCCCTCACAAGACGTACTGGGCAGTGTGGAAGAGTAGGCCGAGTACTCTGTACAGGAGCCCTGGAGTGGAGGCCAGCACGGGCAAGTACTTGCGGGGCTGCCCCTTTATCTGCATACCGTACAACAGCACGAACGACAGGCAACCTCAACATATTCGTCAATGACACCACCGTACTCTAAGTGCAAACCAATGTAATAGGCAACGTTTTGGGCAATGTCCCTTCTTCATAAAGAAGAGATGGAAGATTCCAGAGAGATTGCCTGAATGACGACTACGATGACGATGGTGATGGTAGTTGCGGACCGATGCCGGGTGGCCAGACTCTGCACTCAGCTCGGGCTGGTGGCAGAGAGGGGGGGAGGGGCTGGGGGAGGGGCTGGGGGAGGGGCTGGGGGAAGGGCTGGGGGAGGGGCCGGGGGAGGGGCCGGGGGAGGGGCTGGGGGCTGCGCTCGGCCCGTGCACTCGCGCTGCAATTCGCGCCCCGATGCTGGAATTTGCATCACAAAAAGAGAGACAATGGATGAGACATCTTAATCCCTGTGGGTCTACCCCCCCCCCTAACTACCCTGCCCCCTCCTCCTGATCCCCCGTCTCTCTCTGCTTCCACCGCGCACACATAGCCCCCCCCCCGACCCCCCACATCCCCCCTCCCCCCGTGTTTGTCCCGCGAGCTGAGTGCCGCCTCATTTACCAGGACAAACAGGGGGGGGGGTGCTCGCCCCCCCATCCCCCACATCCCCCAGCCCCACCCCCCAACTCCACCCCCACACCCCCCACCCAACTGCGCTGCCTCTCAGTGAGCTATACAGCCCCCCGCCCCCTCCTTGTCAACCCATAATAACCCCCATCGCGCAATGGGGGCTATGTGACCATACTTCACCACGCTGGTCGGTGCGGGTTGCAGTGCGGAGAGACACAGGAGCGATTTAGATTTGGCTCGCCACTGATATGAGCCGTGGCCAGGAATCTAACTCAGATAGTCCTCTTCAGAGCGTGGAGGTGCGCGCATGTGTCTGTGTGTGTCTGTGTGTGTCTCTGTGTGTGTATCTATGTGTGTGTGTGTGTCTGTGTGTGTGTCTGTGTGTGTCTGTGTGTGTATGTGTCTGTGTGTGTCTGTGTGTGTCTCTGTGTGTGTATCTGTGTGTGTGTCTGTGTGTGTCTGTGTGTGTGTGTCTGTGTGTGTGTGTGTCTGTGTGTGTGTTTGTGTGTGTTTGTGTGTGTGTGTGTCTCTGTGTGTGTCTGTGTGTGTGTCTGTGTGTCTCTGTGTGTATATATGTGTCTGTGTGTGTCTGTGTGTGTCTGTGTGTGTGTTTGTGTGCGTGTCTGTGTGTGTCTCTGTGTGTGTCTGTGTGTGTCTGTGTGTCTGTGTTTGTGTGTTTCGTAGTTTCGTTTATTTGGTATAGCCCTGTGAGCCATTCGGCTCTTGAATCGGGTGCAACCGCAACAAACAAAAAAAACATGAACAAGAAAACATCTTAAGGTGACTTTGTGCATGTGCAAACAGAAAATCCAGGAAAAAACATCAAAATATTCTTGAAATAGCACCGTACACCAACGCTTGTGTGTCTCTGTGTGTGTCTCTGTGTATGTCTGTGTGTGTCTTTGTGTGTGTATGTGTGTGTCTCTGTGTGTGTGTCTGTGTGTCTCTGTGTGTGTCTGTGTGTGTCTCTGTGTGTATATCTGTGTGTGTGTCTGTGTGTCTCTGTGTGGGTCTGTGTGTCTCTGTGTGTGTCTGTGTGTGTGTCTGTGTGTGTATCTGTGTGTGTCTGTGTGAGTCTGTGTTTGTGTGTGTCTCTGTGTGTGTCTCTGTGTGTGTCTGTGTGTGTCTCTGTGTATGTCTGTGTGTGTCTCTGTGTGTGTCTCTGTGTGTGTCTGTGTGTGTCTGTGTGTGTCTCTGTGTGTGTCTGTGTGTGTCTGTGTGTCTGTGTTTGTGTGTCTCTGTGTGTGTCCTGTGTGTGTCTCTGTGTGTGTCTGTGTGTGTGTCTGTGTGTGTCTGTGTGTCGCTGTGTGTGTCTGTGTGTGTCTCTGTGTGTGTGTCTCTGTGTGTGTCTCTGTGTATGTCTGTGTGTCTCTGTGTATGTCTGTGTCTCTGTGTGTGTCTGTGTGTGTCTCTGTGTGTGTCTGTGTGTGTGTCTGTGTGTGTCTCTGTGTGTGTCTGTGTGTGTGCGCGTTAATGATGGGAGCGGTAGTGAGCGGTTAGCGTGCTGTGCTACGATCCCGGCGACACGAGTGCGATTCCCGCTCACAGCCAACACCAGCTACGATTATCTGAACCGATCCTGGGCCTACCTAGGTCGACTCAGCCTCAAATGAATACCTGGTGTAGCGGTGTGTAAATATCGCCACTAGGGATACATGTGCTGGCCACCCACGCCCTCGTGTGCCGTTAATAGCACTTACCCCAAAAGTCTGTTGATGCTATACGGGTGATCTTTGTCTTAATGATGGGGATAATGGTGACCGTAATCATCGTGATGATGATAACGATGATGAGTCTTAATTCGATGAAGTTGACCCCGTGATGTTCATGATAATTATTGTTGTCATGATGATGATGAATCTGATGAGGCTGGTGATCGTGGCAGTGCCGATGATAACCGTGATGCTGACAACGATGACCTCGATGCTCATCATGCTGATGATGGTGACGACCATGAAAATGACGATGATGTCGGTCCCCCCCCTCTCCCATCCCTGCCGCTGCCACCGCTGCTGCTGCTATTACCGCGTAATGGCAGCTTTCGAAGCAAACCCCCCGAGCAGGGCCTGTGATTTGGGTCTCTGTGAAAAGGGGAACAATTGAGGTGGGGGCTCCCCCCCTCCCTCACATCCCCACACAACTCCCATCCATCCCCTTACACTGGCCAAGAGGGGGGGGGGGGGGGGGCAGCCGTTCGTGGTTGCCGTGGCCACGCAGAAAGCATTCTGGGAATTCGCGGGGCGCGAAGGTAACCCAATCTGAGACCAACTTGACCTCTGACCTGTCGTTTAAAAAATAGAGAAAAAACCCCATCGTGGGCAGGAGAGGAGGAGCGGAGGGCGCGGGATGCAAGCGGAGCAATTTGTGCCGCCGATCCCCCCACCCCCACCCCCCCCCCCCCCAAGAACGATCGCGCACGCGAGGCAGCGGAGCGACACGGTTGGAGCCACCGCGTCGTCTAAACAGTCTCCATTCGTGTTGTGAGCCCTCCTCCACCCGACGCCGCCAATTAAATAAAGTTTGTCGCGTGAACAAAACGTGGGCTGATTTATGGCCCGCTTCAGCACCACCCGGTAGGGTTAAAGGGCGATCCACAAGCGTTGAACAATTGGGTAGTCCGACGTTTCGCATCCACACACGTTTAACAATAGGGGATTTTCCGATGGCTCGCTGATAGTTACAACCAGAACGATCACGCAAGTTGCCAGATTTGTTGCCAGAATTCCCACTCCCCATTTTCTTCAATTAATTCCGCCCAATGGAATTTTTTTCATTTTCTGGTAAAAAAAAATATTGGTCATATATTTTGTTTATTTTTAACCATAATTTTGGGGATGTTTGGCCAATACCGGGTCACCTTTCTCAACCCCCGCAGGTTATGGGCGCTCCCAGCTCACCGCGAATCGCCCGACGGGCGAGGTCCCGCGTCAACACCCCGAGCGGTGTTCGAGATTCCTGGCAGACACAAAGAGGACAAAGATCCCCCGTATAGCCTCGAGCAGACTGCTAGGGCAAGGGCTGTTGGCTGGCGCCGGGTACTGGTTTGAGGCTGAGTTGACCTAGGGGATGCCCAGAACCGGCTCAAATAATCGTCACTGATCAAGATCACCAGTATAGCCTTTACAGACTGTTGAGGCAAGTGCTGTTAGCGAGCACCTATCAAGGCCGGAACGGCACACGAGGGGGTGGGTGGCGAGCACTACGCCTGACCGCCTTTGTCTCCCTAGTGGCGATGTTTACACACCGCACCAGGTACTCATTTGAGGTTGAGTCGACATAGGGGATGTCCAGGACCGGTATCAACTCGTCACTGGTGTTGGCCGTGCACAGGAATCGAACTTGGTTCGCCGGGTTCATATCGCAGCGCACTAACCACTACACCACTGCTCCCCCACGCACGCACGGAAACACACACCGACAAACACACGCACACACATAGACAAACACGTACCCACACACACCCATAGACAACACGCGCGCACACACAAAGACAAACACGTGCACACACGCACACACGTGCACACACACACACTACATTATAGACAAACACGTGCACACACGCACCCACGTGCACACACACATAGACAAACACGTGCGCACACGCACACACACACACGTGCAAACACACAGACAAACACGGGCAGACACTCACACGTGCACATGTGCACACACACACACACATAGACAAACACGCACACGTAAAACACACGCGTCGAAAAACACGTGCACACACGCGCGCGCGCACATCGCCAATTCGCTAACAGCTTCCTGCCACGGCTGCCGCTCTAATGGCTGTTGTTGCCGCTGCTGTTGCCACGGGAGATTTATTGGAGCTGGAATTTTGCACCAAACTTCCTGAGCACTTTTACGGGGAGAGGAGAAAAGGGGGTGGGGGGGGGGCGACCTGGGGCGGGCAGTGGGGTGGAGGGGGGCGGGAGTCAAGGGGCTATCGTCTGTTACCGGTTTCGACATTCAGTGTCTCATCAGCAGAGCCGGGCTTGCTTGAAGCAATGTTGGCGAACTGCCCAGATGTTTCGTGGCGAGGACTCTCCCTATCTGTTAGATATGGGGCCTCGTTAGCTGGAAAGCCAATAGTAGTAGTCTGATGGACTAAAGAGGGCAGTTTTGTCGTGGACACAGAATGGATTTCCGATTATATTTTCTTCAACAGATAATGCCACACAACAACGCATAGTGAGATTGCGAACTGCAAAAGACAAAGACCCCCCCCCCCCCCCATGGCCTTCACAGACTGTTGGGGCAAGTGATGCTAGCGAGTAGCAACTATGAAGGCCGGTAAGGCACACGAGGGTTTGTTTGGCCAACAACCACAGCCAGCCGCCTTTGTCTTCCCAGTGATAATATGTTTTCTTTACGTGTGTAACGCATCACATGTTGTATTTACACATCGTACCAGATACTCGATTTAGGTTGAGTCAACCTAGGCTATGCGCAGGTCGTAGCGTAGCGCGCGGTTGGCTACGTAGGGTGCGAAAGAAGTTCAACATACATACACTAGCGCTCTGAACATTGTAAGATCTCACTGAGACGAAGGCCATCTCTGAGACTAAGGAGACTCGGGGAAGCAACCCAAGTTATTTCGACCAGCAAGCCAAATATATTTCCGCGCATAAAACAAACAGACAGACAAGAGGGGCTTACAAATGTAAAATGCGACTCCCAGCAGTAGAATGTAAATAATTTACAAAAATCAGAATGGATGATCCACGGTCCTATTGCGCAAGGCGCCACGGTGTCTAGGAGATGTTCACTACCTCGCCGGGTATACGGGAGGCCATGGGTTCGATCCCGACCCTGACGCCTGCTCTATGTTTGGAGTGTGCGAGTCTCTCTCTCCGTGGTCGCGTGGGATTTTCTCCGGGTCCTCCGATTTTCCCCTCCACGTTTAGAATCAACATCACCACGCGTTTAGAGTCTTTGGCTGCTATAAATGTCCACACGATAAGCCGATTCGTTGAGCTGTCATTTGTGGCCAGGTCGCTTCTTAAAAAAAGAGCTACATAGCTCAGCGGGCCTTACCTGGTGAAATAAAAAATAGTTTATTTTTGTAACGAGCCAGAGATTCACCAACTCAGGGGCATCGCCACCCTCCCACGTGTTTGACCGATCGGCTCACACACGCTGCACGTGCCTGTTGATAGGAGGATTGGTTGGGGGGGGTGGGGAACCGGGACACATCATGGGTCGAAGAGGAATCAAATCGACCTCACAATAACAGGAGGTGAACTCCGCGTTAATGCTTGAGGCGGTGACGTGGCCTAGCGGTCGCGCGTTTCTCTGTGTTCGTTGCAGAGGTTCGCGGTTCGAATCCAGCGGCCGCCCTGGTTAACACTGCGCTGCGTGGTGTTAACCACGGTAATACTACGACTGCGCGCACATCTGCTTCACCCAGTGCAGTATACGTTCGTGATCCCGTGAGGCACATTGTGTGCCAGCGTCAAAGTCCGGAAGGTTCACGAAAATTTGAAAAATTACACCGCAAAAATTGCTCCGTTTGGGATTACAAACAACAACAACAGCCGCCATTCGCCACTAAGTGGCGGTGACGTCACCACGGCAATTGTGCCAGGCTATGTGAACGTTGAGGCCACGTGAAGTGTTGAACGCCCGCTGGTAGGCGGTCACGGGGTAGACCCAGGTGCCACGGGTCGACTGACTGAGATGACGCTCACACACAGCAGCAGCCACAATCATTGCCCCGACTACTGCGAAAACCTGGCAGGATCCTCCTGAAAGAGAGTCATGAGACTCAGAGAGGCGTTCCTGGTTGAACAAGGAGATGGATGCACACGCACACACACACGTGCCGCGTGTGTGCCGCGTGTGCGTCCATCCATGATGCTACTGCTTTGGCAATGGTGCACAGACAACAAAAATAACAGCCACTCAACACTCTCCTTGTCAACAACCTGTCAACAACAATAACTCTACACGTTCCTTGTCAATAACACTCTGGCCTTAAAAAGAAAACGTATATAATAGGCGACGTTTCTGGCAATGGCCCTTGTTCACAACACAATGAGAGGCCAGGGAGGTATAGCGGACGCGAGTTGGAGAGAGCACTCTATACCATGGGGCCTGATGCGAATCCAACTTCTTCTTCTTTTTAAAATATGCAATGAAATTGGGATCGTAAATCCATCTGTGGCGGACCTCTTCTCCTCCTCCCCCGTCCCTCTCTCCCTCAGCTCTCCAAGGAACAGAGTCCCTCCATCGGGACCCCGTCCAGGGGAACCTCTTCAAGCCCCGCTCCCGTCCTCCCCTCCGCATCGACCCCGCACGGACCCCCTCAGACCCCATCATACCCACTCGGACCCCGCTCTCACAGGGCCCCCCACCGACCCACCCACGGCCGCAAGCCTTGAGGGGGGACACAGCCCCCGCTCCCCCGACCCACCGCGAGTTGCTCCTCAGTCGAATGCAAAAGCAGACCACGGGAAACGAGACCCCTACTGCTCCACCAGATCCACCTGGAGCTCCACCAGATCCACGTGGAGCATCACCGGATCAATCTGGAGTTCCACCGCGTCCACATGGAGCTCTACCAGATCCATCTGGATCACCACGGGATCCACCACACACACCGGGTGCTAAACCACAGAGGCCCAGTCACTGTGAACCGGTGGAGCCTGAGCGCTTCACGGCTCCACCAACTCAACCACATTGCAAATACAGATGCATACACGTACATACAGGTATACACGCAAACAGATCGTAATCCACGTAAGCAGATAACCCACGAAAGCAAGATCATCACCCACGACACCAGATGATCACCCATGAAACCAGATCGTCACCCACAAAACCATATCATAACCATGAAACCATATTATCACCTACGACACCAGATCATAACCCATGAAACCAGATCATCACCAACGACACCAAATCATCACCCACGCCAGAACTCACGCAACCAGATCACAGATCACGGACCAAAAAAAAAACCAGAGCACAAACCTCACGAACGACCCACGACGGGTGGCCAGGTGGACATATCATCGTCTCGTTGATTCGTCCCATCGCTGGTGACGAGGAGGAACCGGACACGTGCGAGTTTTTTTGCGCCTACAGAAAAAAAATCAAAAATGGGACGGAAAAATTGACGATTCTGCCGACGCGTGGCCATGCTGATGATTATGATGACGGTGAATTCCAGAGGAGGCGAAGCTGTTCCGGGCCGGGCTCTCCCCTGCGCCTGGGTGTCAATGTCGATATGTGTTTGTGTTTTATAAGATGTAACCCAGAAACATGCAACAACAACAGCAAACACGCGCACGCACACACACATAGCGGGGGTGGGAAGAGAGGGGCGACTATTCTCATCGATCCCGAACGGAGCTTCCCTTGTGAACAGAAACAGCTGCTCAACCGAATAGAGAAAGAGAGACTGAGATGCACCCGGTTGGACTCTGGGCGCGGGTGCGTCTCGCGTCGCGCGAGTGAGGGAGCGGCCGAGTGTGCGCGCCGCGCTATTTGCAATGGTCAGTAGCCGTACGTTGGTGTATCGACGATGCAAGCAACCCCGACTCCCACGCCCTCCCCTCCCCCGCCCTCCCCACGGATGTGACCCCCCCCCCCCACGTCCTACAAAACCCCGTTTGTATCAGGTGTCTCTTTAACACTGCGTTTTGTAAGCGCATGTTAAGATAGGGATGGAGATGCGTGGTGTGGGGGGTTAAGGTGGGGGGTGTGGGCAACTCAGAGGCGATGCCACTTTGACGTCGCCTTTGGTGCAACGCGGTCGGCTCCGTCGCTGCTGCCCAGGCGCTGAGCGGGGGGAGCCTCGCGGGGGGTGGCCCCCACGCCCGGTCCGCGCGGCGCCGAAGGGGACACCGGGGGCTGCGGGGGCTCTGGTGGCGAGGTCCGCGGTCCAGGCGGATCGCTGACCCCGGCAGTGGTCGTAGCAGATCGCCCGCACCCCCCTCGCCTCTACCCCACCCGCCCTGTCCACGGCCACGACGCCGCCGCCCCCCTCGAATGGGAAGAGTCGACACGAGCGACTGCAGGCGGCTGCCTTCTCGCTATGCACAGCGCCCGCCCGCTCCGGGGCACCCGGGCCTCTAACCGGACAACTTTTTGTCTGGAGCGGAGTCGGACTGAAACAAACTCGTGCCAAGTCGGTCGCGTGTTCCCCAACCCTCAATCTCAATCTCTACCCTCGTACCCCCCCCGTACCACCCCCCCGTACCCCCCCCGTAGCCTCCCCCGACACACAACCTCGTTGCCCCTCCCTCCGCAGGGGCCACCTGCAGAACGGAGTGCGCGGAGCTCCGAGGCGACGGGGTCCGGGTGAGAACTGAACCGCGCGACCTCATCGGGGGCCACCGTGGCGCGTCCGGTCCGCCGTGTGTTCGCGTGTGTGTGTTTGTGTGCGTTATGTGTGTGTGTGCACGTGCGTGTGCTTGTGGAGAGCGGTGGTGCAGTGGTTAGCGCGCTGCGCTACGAACCCGGCGACCCAAGTTCGATTTCCGCTCACGGCCACCAATAGTGGTGAACATTTGAACCGGTCAAGAGCCTTTCTTAGGTCGACTCAGCCTTAAAAGAGTACCCGGTGCGGTGTGTAAACATCAGCACTGGGGGGACAAAGGCGGCCGGGCGTGGTGTTGGCCACCCACCCCTCGTGTGCTGTGCCAGAATTCATAGGTGCTCGTTAACAGCACTTGCCCCGCACAGCCTGTTAAGGCTTTTCGGGGGATCTTTGTCTGTGTGCGTTGCTCGCAGCCCACGGTGCTCGCCCCACCCTCCCCGACCCCTCCCTTCCCCCCGATCATTCTCCATCCCCGCCCCTCGCCGTTGGTGATGACGGTGGTGGTCGTGGTGGAGATCGCAAATGCGTTTTCGCCAAAAAAAATCTGGATGAAAGTCGCCAGCAACAGTCGCGGCAGCCCGCGAGGGTCGGGCAGCACGAGAGGGCAGAGGAGGGACGCGGATTCGAGTCCCCGCGCTCTCAGCCACCGCTCCCTCCACCACCACCACCGCCACCACCACCGCCTCAAACTCACGGGGCGCGGGTCTGCCAGTGGTGATGTCGAATTGATCATCGTCATCATCATCACCCTCGTTATCATCATCACCCTCATCATCATCGTCGTCATCATCATCATCATCCTCGTCGTCATAATCGTTATCGTCGGGGATTTTATTCGTGGCCATGATGTTCGTGATGGTGATGCTGCTGATGATGATGGTGATGATGACCACCTCCACATGTGCCACTGACGCTCATAACCTCGGGCTTGTAGCGGTCACGTAACTGCCTTAGCGGTCACGTAACTACCTTACCGGTAGGGTAGCTGCCTTAGCGGTCATGTAACTGACTTGGCGGTCACGTAACTATCTTAGCGGTAACGTAATTACCTTACCGGTAGGGTAGCTGCCTTAGCGGTCACGTAACTGACTTGGCGGTCACGTAACTGCCTTAGCGGTCACGTAACTACCTTACCGGTAGGGTAGCTGCCTTAGCGGTCACGTAACTGACTTGGCGGTCACGTAACTATCTTAGCGGTAACGTAATTACCTTACCGGTAGGGTAGCTGCCTTAGCGGTCACGTACTGACTTGGCGGTCACGTAAACTGCCTTAGGCGGTCACGTAACTACCTTACCGGTAGGTAGCTGCCTTAGCGGTCACGTAACTGACTTGGCGGTCACGTAACTATCTTAGCGTAACGTAATTACCTTACCGGTAGGGTAGCTGCCTTAGCGGTAACGTAACGGACTTGGCGGTCACGTAACTATCTTTAGCGGTAACGTAATTACCTTACCGGTAGGGTAGCTGGCCTTAGCCGGTAACGTAACTGACTTGGCGGTCACGTAACTGAAACGACTGCATGGGTGTTCGCGGTTGTGCCGTGTAGCCTTGCGTTGCGTTCTCTCTCCAGTTCTTGGGCACGATGTCCCGAACGTTCCGCTGCCCGCTACGGGCCCCTCTCCAACCAAACAATCCAGCGGCACAACCCCCCCCCTCCCCCCCGCAAACGCATCGGACGGAGGATGAAGCGTCACGTTCGGTAGCTACGCGTTCACGACTCGGGTTGGAGTTCAGTAGCGGTGACGTCGTTGGGTCATCAATGTCACCCGGGTCAACACGGCCTGGGGGTCGGGTCGGGTCACGTCGGGTCGCACCACACCGTGGGATCCTCGCCCAGGTTCCACCATTAAAGGTTTGCCTCAAGCGACCGCGTCTCGCCCCCCCCCCCCCCCGCGTGCTTCCTGGACGTGCTTCTCCGGCGAACCCGCGGGGCCCAGCGGAGAGGGAATGAGGAGGGGGAATGAGGAGGGGGGATGAGGATGGATGTGCAGAGATGGGCAGAGATGAGGGATGTGGCGGCATGTGGAGGGATGACGAGGCGTGAGGAGGGATGTGGCGGCATGTGGAGGGATGCCGAGGCGTGAGGAGGGATGTGGAGGGATGACGAGGCGTGAGGAGGGATGAGGAGGGATGTGGAGGGATGTGGAGGGAGCGATCGGCTTCGGTTACCCGCGGCACGCATTGCGTTCGCTGTCGCGCAGCCTCGCCCCAAGCTGATGCCGCTGTCTCCCTCTCCCTTCCTGATGCCGCTGTCTCCCTTCCTCCATCACTCATTCCCACACTCCCTCCCTCGCTCTCTCCCTCATACAGTTGCCTCCAACACTCGCTCGCTCGTTTCGAATATCATCCCTCTATCACTCCCTCCCCCCCCCTCGATCACTCGCTTTCTCTCTCCCTCCCTACATCACCCCCTCCCTCTCCCCCTCCCTCTTTCCCTCTCTCCATCAATCGCTCTCCCCGTCGCTACCTCCCTCCCCGCTTGATGTGACCCCCTCCCTCCCCCGCTCCCCCTCCCTCACCTCCCCGCTCGCCCGTACGGAGCTCCGCTCGGGGCCGCCTCGCCACTCTGCGCGCCCCGTGGCCGCGATGAGACGCGTCCCCCCGAGAGGAGCGCGGGCGACGCGGTAGCGGGCGCCGGTGCCGCTTCGGCGACAAGGGGAAGGGAGAGGGCGGCGCGGGTCCCCGTGTCTCTTCGTGTCTCCACGAGTCTCCCCGAGACTCCCCACGTCTCCCCGAGTCTCCCCACGTCTCCCCGAGTCTCCCCGAGTCTCCCCGCGTCTCCCCGCGTCTCTACAAGTCTCCACGAGTCTCCACGAGTCTCCACGCGTCTCCACGCGTCTCCCCGCGTCTCCACGAGTCTCCCCGCGTCTGCCCGTGCCCTCCAAAAGTCTCCAAAAGTCTCAACGAGTCTCCGAATCTTCCCGAGTCTCATTGGCGAGTCTCCCCGCCAGGGTCTTCTCCACGCCGCTCCTCTCCCGGCGGGAGCGCGGTTCACTCCGCGGTTCCTCCACGGAGGGAACCGAAAAGAGATCGGGGCAGGGCACGCAGCGTGCGCGATATTTACAAAGACAAAGGTCCCCCGTATAGCCTTAACAGACTGTTTGGGGCAAGTTCCCACACGCTTACATATAGACAACATACATACAGAGATTTAAAAACATACACACATACATACACACACACTCAGCCGTTCACTCACTAACTTACACACTGACACAAACGCTCGCTCGCTCGCTCACTCACCAACTCACACACTCACCAGCTCACACACTCACGCATTCACAAACTCACCCACTCACCAGCTCACACACTCACCAGCTCACTCACCAGCTCACTCACCAGCTCACCCACTCACCAGCTCACCCACTCACCAGCTCACTCACCAGCTCACTCACCAGCTCACCCACTCACCAGCTCACTCACCAGCTCACTCAACAGCTCACCCACTCACCAGCTCACTCACCCTCTCACCAGCTCACTCACCAGCTCACCCACTCACCAGCTCACTCACCAGCTCACCCACTCACCAGCTCACTCACCCTCTCACCAGCTCACTCACCAGCTCACTCACCAGCTCACCCACTCACCAGCTCACTCACTCACAAGCTCACCCACTCACCAGCTCACTCACCAGCTCACCAGTTCACTTACCCACGCACCAGCTCACCCACTCACCAGCTCACCCACTCCCCAGCTCACCCACTCACCAGCTCACCCACTCACCAGCTCACCCACTCACCAGCTCACTCACCCACTCACCC